AGTACAGGGAGGTTCAAAACCTACTTTGTAGTTCAGGATGTCTTCAAGTTTGCCATGCTCCTGCCTCAGGCTCACAAGTACTGTGAGGCAGCAGCAACATAGCCAGTGTGCATTTTAAAACACTTAAGCTCAGGAAACTGTTGTTGGTCATTTTAAGCTATAGCGCTGTGTCATTTGAAAGCACTTAAAGGTATCATACATGTCCCTGAAATTCAGAAATTCTCTGGGGTGGGATTGGGGGTTCAGTTGGTAGAGTGCTTGCCTAGCATGCGTGAAGTCCTGGATTCTGTCCCCCACCGCCTTATAAAGCAGAGGTGTTGGTGCACATCGGTAATCCCAGAAGTAGGAAGGTGGAAACGCGAAGATTAGAAGTTCAATGTCATCTTTAGATACATAGGAAGTTCAAGAGCAGCCTGGGATACATAAGACTCAGAAAGAGAGAGAGGAGAGAGAGAGAGAGAGAGAGAGAGAGAGAGAGAGAGAGAGAGAGAGAGAGAGAGAGAGAGAGAGAGGAGGCAGTGGAGCAGAGGGAGGGGAAGCGGATGATGGAGAGGGGAGGGAGGCAGTGCTCTGGGATGTGCTCTCTTATCTCTAGAGTAATTCAATTGCCTCTCAAATCTCTAGCATTCTGGGATTTATTGTATTTTGGTCTTTATACTCTCCATAGCTACTTAAGTGCTAGACCAGTAAGATACAAAATGTCTTGAAAAATGGATGGCTTTACAACACATGCACAGCCATTTCTGTGGCATCCACTGTTGTTTTGTCCTTCAGCTCCCTTTTGAGATCCCTCCTGTAAACACCCAGGTCTGAATGAAACATTAGAAAGAACGTTCTAAACTGAAGTGTGCCCGAACAAAAGAGGTGACCATTTTGAAGCAACCTAAAATGACTTGTCTTTATTGCAATGAACTCTGATTACTCCGTGTTCTTATTTTTGTTTTAAAAGCTGCCAAAGAAGACTGGAGAGATAGCTCAGCCATTGAGAAAGAGCGCTTGTTGTTCTTCAAGGTGACCCACGCTCTTTTCTAAGAAACCACATCACGTGTCTCACAATCACCTGAAACTCCAGCTCCATGGGATCTTCTAGGCTCAGTGGGCACTGCACACACACGCACACATTCAACACACCAACACACACACACATTCACAAACACAAATAGTTAAATATAAAATAAAACTTTGGTCTTTTTTCAAGCTATGAAACGTCTGCCTCGAAGCCTGAGAATCAGTTGGCAACTTCGCCTCTGTATGAACTATCCCCTCCTTCCTTCATTTCAAAGGCCATTTTCCCAGACAGAAATTGAATATAAAAAGGGGCTGAGATTATCAATCCACTTAGGATTGTTGCATTTAAAATTTTTTTTATCAAAACAGGAAAAAAAAAAGGTGATACAGGCAAGGCTCAAGTGCTGACATGTGTCGTTCTGTTTATTCATTATTCAGGGGTCAGACCCTCAACCAAGGCCAGAGAGAAATGCCAAAAATAAATACATATCAACGCAACAGTCTGTAATTTAGAATAATGGAAAGCGAGATTCCTATTCATTTTTATGGCGCTAAAGCTGACACCATTTCACTCCAATTTTCTCTAATGGAACCAGCTGGGTTCTGGGAGGGGAGCCGTAATAGGTTTTAATGGACAGAATCTACCATTGAAACTGGCCATTTTTCTCACGCAATCTCCGAGCTTGGCTCCCTGCCCATCAGGAGGCATTATGCCTTCTCTATAATGCCACACGGTCTGGTCTATAAGAGAAGAGGGACCCGTGAGCAGGAGACTCAAGTCTTCAAAGTATGTTTGGGGGGGGGGGGACATGTTCTCTCTTCACCACGCAATCGCAAGACACACGTGGGATTCCACAGCTCCCCAGGGGACAGTACCCTGAGAGGAACCAAGGAAATGTCAAAGTCCTCAGGAGAAACTCGCAGTTCCAGGCATGGTGGGTGCTACACACCAGTAATCCCAGCACTCGGAGGCTTGATGGAGGAAGGTCATTGGCTAATAAAGAAACTGGCTTGGCCCATTTTATTGGTTAGAACATAGGTGGGTGGAGTAAACAGAAGAGAATGCTGGGAGGAAGAGGAAGTGAGGTCAGAAGTAATGCAGCTCCTCTCAGAGCCAGACGCCTCAGACAGAGAGGCATGCTCCGCTCTCCCAGGCAGATGCATGCAATGAAGCTCCTCCGACCCAGGATGGACGTAGGCTAGAATCTTCCCGGTAAGCGCACCATGGGGTGCTTACACAGATGACTAGAAATGGGCTAAATTAATATGTGAGAATTAGCCTAGAAGAGGCTAGATAGAAATGGGTCAAGCAGTGTTTAAATGAATACAGTTTGTGTGTTGTTATTTCGGGCATAAGCTAGCCAGGCGGCTGGGGTGCTGGGGACGCAGACCCGCCACTGCTCCTTATTTCAACAGAGGCTGAGGCAGGAGGCTCATGAGTTCGAGTTCAACAGTCCAGCCTGGGCTGAGAAGCTCTCCTCGGTAAAGAAATATACAACAGAAAATGGGGAGATGGGTCAGTGTGGAAAGTCCTTGCAGCACATATGTGGGCTCTGAGTTTGCATCTGCAGCACCCACACAAAATCCCAGGTGTGGTGTGGTCCCTAATTCCTGCACTGAGACAAGAGAAAAGAGGATCCCTGGGCCAATCAGTGACCAATGGACGATCAACAAAGCTCCAGGTTCAGTGAGAAACCCTGTCTACAACATTAAAGTGCAGAGTGACAGAGGAAGGCACTCAACACCACCTCTGTCCTCCAAATAGGAACCCCTGCACGCACACACGCACACACACACACACACACACACACACACACACACACACAAAATAAACATAAAATGGACTAGCAGAGACTGTTTAGGAAAAGTTGAAGAGACAGGCAGAGAGAATCTGGAAATTGAGGGAAAACAATTTCTTCTTGAAAGATTTATTATTTTTAAAGTATTGTATGGGGGACCTGCGGGTAGTGGAGCGTAGCTTGTGAGAACAGGAGACTGTGGATGTCAGAAGAGGGAGTCAGATCCCTGGAGTTGAAGCTACAGGCGATGTAGGTGCTGAGAACCAAACTCGGGTCCTCTGCAAGAGCAGTAAGCACTCTTAATGGCTGAGCCATCTCTCCAGCCCCAGGACCATCATGTCAATGGCAAACTTTTGAGTCGGTTTCTTATACTGTTTGCTTGCTTTAGACATGACTGTGTTCTACAGGGTCTGGATTAACAGTCAGAAAGTGTTTTCTCTCCCTCTTATCCCATGTGTTTGCCTATTCAGCTCTCCAACTGCTATTAGCTTAGGAAGAGAACATGCGGAGAAGGGAATGGGCTGGCTGCCACAGAGATAGCAAAGGGATATTAGTTCAAATTTTTATTTCATGGCATCACACCCTCTTGCAACCTGTTTTGTTTGCTAGGCAGCCTGACTGCCTCTTTGAGTCATGCCTGATCTGGGCCACCAGCCTGGAGTCTTAGCCATCGTGGAGGGTAAAGAAACAGCAATTGGTAAGGGGTGGGACACAAATCTGATCAGAGTCATTGTGTTGTGTTTTTCCTGAGCATGAGAGAATTTGAAAACTTTGTATGTGTGTGTGTGTTTGTGTGTGTGTCTGTGTATGTGTGCATGTGTCTATCTATCTGTCTGTGTGTCTATGTATCCGTGTGTATACCTGTGTGCTTATGTGCCTGTGTGTCTGTGTAGAAGCCTGTGGAAGCCAGAACAGGGCATCAGATCTTCTGGAGTCGAAATTACAGATGGTTACCCTGACGTGGTGCTTGGACCCAGACTCAGGTCCTCCGCAAGAGCAAGAGTGCTTAACCATTGAGCCTTCTCTCCAACCCCACAGCAGAAATGTTCCCCAGAGCTAGGCCCTGACATGCTTCTTTTTATGTTAAATTGGCTCTTCCATGGTTTTCAGGTATATGACACATTCTGACTCTCCTCAGCCCATCGTCTCTTTTTGTCCCCTCATCCCTGTCACAAGCACCTCTGTCACCTCCTCCAAAGAGCCTCTTGTTTTGCTTTTGGATCTGAGACCCACTGAGGTTAGCCAGGAGCCAGTATGAGATAATGGGTTTGGAACCTGGTGGCTGTCCCTCTCCAAAACTCCAGGAGCCTCTCCCCAGTCCATGGCTAACAACCGATGGCTCCAGTCTTGTGCAGGCCCACTGGAGACAGCCACAGCCGCTGTGGTCGTGACTGCACCCGTTGTACCCAGTACAGATGTCAGCATCCCACAGCTCTTCTCCCTTTCTTCCAGGTCTTACATCCTTTCCACTTCCATTGCCCGAAATGGCCCATGATCATTAAAGGGATACTACTAACATTCTGTTTAGGTCTGAGCACTCAACTACCATTTATTCTCCACAATCACTGTCAGCCACCGCAAAAAGAAGTTTCTCTAAGTCTAGAAATAGCAAGAAAACATATATTTCTTTTTTATAGGAGGGTATCTGGTTATTAAAAAAAGAATACATTAGGATGTATTGTAGTATCATTGATTCATCAATGTGAATACCACATCTTATACTTAGCATGACTTGATTAAGAACAACTCATGGGAGTCAGTTCCCGCCTTCCAGCATATGTATCTCGGGGATGGAACTCGGGTCTTCAGGCTTGGCAACAAGCTCTTTTACCCTATGAGCCTTCTTACCAGCCCACACACAAGGTTTAGTTAGAGAATTTTTGTAACAATCTCATTACAATGGGCTTTCAACTTTGAGGGTTTATGAGGATCCTGAATTGGGGAGATAAAAAGCCAAAGGCATTTGCGATAATTCATCTTTGCAGTCAGCTTAACTGGATTTGGGGTCAACTCAGAGACACCCTGCTAGGCACATCTATGAGAAACCTTCTTCATTCAGTCCATCCAAGTGGGAAGACTCATCCTAAATGTGGGAGGAGCCTTCCAGTAGCCACCAGATAAAAGGGACCTCACTGGGGAAACCTTTACTTTCTGCCTGTCTTCCTTCCTGTCTTGATGCTGAGTTCATCTAACCTGTTGCTGTTTCTGCTGCCATCCTTCACTGACATCGGCACCCAGCTTCTTAGCCTTCCGATGTACACTAAGGACCAGCATCTCTGCAGGAGCCTCCAGGCCTTCAGCAACAGTTTGAGACTGCTGAGGCATTCAGACACCTGAATTGAACAGTCTCTTCAGTGTGAAGGTAGCTATTGTTGAGCCCAGCCTCTACATGTAAGTCAATTCAATAAACCCTCTTCTAACAAATACTCATACTATCTGTTCTGTTCTACTAGCTAATCCTGACTAAAAGAGCATTAGCATGAAATGAGTTTGAAGAGATATGCCCAATACTATGTGTATATGTGTGCTTACATGTATATATGTATTTGTGTGCCCAATAGTTTCTATATATGTGGGTGCATACATATGTATATACACAGGGTTTATGTATTTATATCTACACATATATTATATATACATATATGTGTGCATACCTACAAATATATAGTATGTATTTGTACATAGCCCTATGTGTAAGTTGTATATACGTGTATATACATATATAATATCTATACTATAAACAGATATATAGCCTATGTGTTTATACCCATACCTACATGTGTATTATATTTACATTGCATGCATGTATACATGTATATATTTATGTATGTATGTACATATATAGATACATTATATATTATGTTTGTACATATACCTACATATATGTATATGTGTCTACATGTAGATTGTGTGTTGTGTAATCCTACCCATGCATGTATATTGCATATGAGTAACTACATATATTATAATACACGTATGCATGTGTATATATAGTATATTGTGTATATGCATATAGAGAAAGTCATATTTTATCACTTTTCTCACATGCTTGTGAAGTGTTAGAAGTAATCTGGATCTTATTTTTTTTAAGTTTTTAAGATTTGCATGTATATAACGAGGTATATGAGGTATGGAACCCAAGTCTGGACATGAGAGTTTTCACGTTTCGTTCATGTGTTTCACACTCACCTGTTCCACACAGCCTGAAGACAATTTCATGCAATATCTCTAACACACCGGGTTGCTGTCTACAGCCCATCTTGTGAGGTCAGAGTAGAATTGTTCATTTTAGCACTGTGTCAAACTCAAAAGTTTATATTTCCCATCTGGGAACAATCAGGGAATGGAGATTTGGGATGAGACATGCCCGACCAGTCATTTTGCATACACACACACACACACACACACACACACTATTGACCAGAAGACATTTACAAAAATGATTTTGATTACTTAGAACCCCACCCCACCCCCCCACCACGGGTGCAGCTCTAATCTCAATCAACCTTTAGCACATCCCGACTCCTGACAAAGTTTATAATTGAGCCCTTGCGGTTGAGCTGCGTTTGAGAAATGGTTTGCTTCTTTCTGGGTTTCCATGGCGACCGCTTCCCCTACCTTGTGGCTGAAGGTAACCTCTGTCGACCATGGCTGGGGGTAGTTATCAAGCTGTCACGGGCAATTTTCCTGCTCATTTGATAGAAGCAACATCCCAGAGAGGAAATAACAGGGTACCGCAGCGAGATCACACTCTCACTTTGAAACTGCAATTTCTGGAAAGACTTCTGCTGTCGAACACAAGACCCTGGTCTCAAGAGAGCCTAGTCAAGGTAGCCAATCATCTCTGCATCTGAGTGAGTAGGAGAATAGTTCTGGACTTGTGGCAGATTATAGAGAGTGCCTCTCACTTGCCATAAGAACTTGGATGTGTCAGATCAGTAGCAAGGTCGTCAGTCCCTTTCTCGCACAGTTTGTGCTCTTAGCTCCATTTACTGCAGAGTCCTGAGATGTTCCAATGAGCCGATTGGATGAAACCACGCTTGGTAAAATATAAAATCCTATACAGACCGGCCTCTTTGTTTTTCCCATCTCACCTTTGGGTTTCTCCAACTCAGGGGTTGATGGGTCATTTGGACTATGGTGCCCAATATTATTTTAGCATCAGAAAGTAAAACTGAGGTATGTCTCAAAACCGACTGGTAATTGCATGTTAGACCTAAGAACAGTTAGAGCAAAACGAGAGAGATAGTTATGGTGCTTTCCAGTTCAGAGTCTGAGAACATCGGCCCAACAAATGAGCTCACCCTTTACAAGAATTTTCCAGGTATGTATTTATTTGATGGGTTTCGGGGTATGTGTGTATGTCTGCATGTGCATGTGTGGAAGTAAGAAAACAACTTGCTGGGGTCACTCATCTCCATCCATCATGCAGGTCCCAGGGATCAAACTCAGGTCATCAGGCTTGGTGGCAGCACCTCTACCAGCTGAACCACTTGAACTGTCCATGAACTCACTTAAAAAAAAAAAACTTCCCTCTCCATTGAGGGACCACTACATTTGAAACTGTGTAGAAGACAGAGTTAATGTATGCATGATTTCCGAGACTACAAGAAATAGAGATATAATTTTTAAATGCAGCTCAAGGGTCATGAGGACGGTTGGAGAAATAGTCTCAAAACCAGATGAAAAGAGTCTGTGATTCTGTTTTTGAATCCCGGGCTGTCTACTGGAGTGAGCAGCTGAAACTGGGTGTCACACACTTGCAGCGGACGCATTCAGTTCTCTTACTCTATCCTCAGCCCTTCTTCTATGTCCAGAAAAAGGAATGTCTTGATAACACAGAACCCAAAGGATACACATTGAATCAGGGGGAGACTTGGTTAAATGGGAGCTGAAGAGATGTCTCAGCAGTTAAGAGCACTTGCTACCCTTGCAGGGGACTACAATTCCATTTCCAGCACCCACACTGGGCAGCTCTTGATTACCTATAACTCCAGATACAGAGGAGCCAGCATCCTCTTCTGGCCTCTATAGACACTGTACTCTCCTGTGCATGCACACACACACACACACACACACACATACATGCATGCACACGCACATGCACATATACACAAGAATAAAAGAAAGTAAATCAGTTAAAAAAGAAACTTTCTTTCTGAACTTATGTTTGAATGTTAAATACCACACACAGATCAGGTTTGGGATATTAGGTACTGACTTAGAGATGGTGAGTTGCAAAGCTGTGGAACCTCTCAGAGGTGGAGCCTAGCTGAGGTCATTGGCGAGTCCAGCCATCGAAGGTTATTGTCCCACCTCTTTTCCAGACCTTTCTCTCTACTTCCCAGTCTACTAGTATATGAACAGTGGCTTAAATTTTGCCATGATTCCCCTGCTGTGATGGACTTGAAACACTCTATCACCATAAACCAGAACAAATTTTTCTTCCTCTAAGCTGTTTCTGTTAGAGATTTTGATCACAGTAATTAATACATGATAATATGTGATGCTAATTAAATAATCCAGTGCCACGTGTTGATGGCTAGCTGTAATTGTCACCATGACATAACCTACAATCGCCTGGGAGGAGAGTCTCAATGTGGGATTATCTACACTGGGTTACTCTGTGGGTGTATCTGTGCTTGGTTGTCATAAGATAATGGATGTAGGAAGACCCAGTCCACTGTGGGAGGCACCATTCCCTAGGTTGTGCCTTGAAGTGTGTTGGAGTGAGGAAAACCAGCTGAGGTAGAGAGCAAGCATGGTTGTGATGTAATCAGCTGTTTAAACTTTCTGCTTTAACATCTCTGGAGTAATGGAACTGTAAGCTAAATAAACTCTTTCTACCCTAAATTGCCTTTCATCAAGGCATTCTGCCACAGGAACAGAAATGAAGCTAATGGACAAGCACTTCAGGGACCATTCTATGCCAGTAATGGAGCAGGTGCTAGAGAAATAAACCAAAGTAACCATGAATTCACACTCAAGTCACTAAGGGTGCAATAAGTCATTATGACTGAATACGGTTCATCAAATGATGACACCATATGCAGGAAGCAAAAATAAATGATAAAGAAGTGATTTATTTTCTGGGATAAACAGAGAAGCAGCCCTGGAAGGATATCTTTCCAGTCTGTTTTATTGTTACTGTTTTAAGATTTTTTTAAAAAAAATTGTGTGTTGTGGAGGCGGGGTGTTGTGCTCATGAGGAGTCCAGATACCTGTGCAGGCCATAAGAGGGTTTTGGATTCCCAGGAGCTGGAGCTCTGTGGGTTCTGGAAACTGAGCTTGGGTCCTCTAGAAGAACAATATGCATGCTAAATAATGAGTCATCCCTCCAGCCCCTCAAGTCTGTTTTAGAGGTTCTTAAAGAGGATGGTCATTTTAAAGCTGGGCATACTAATGCTCACCTTGAATCCCAGCACTGGGGAGGAAGAGGCAAGTGGATCTCTGTGAGTTCGAGAACAACCAGGCCTACGCAGTAAGATTTTGTCTAAAAAAGCAAAACAAACAAAAAAAGAGAGCACACGGCAGTTTTATGAGGCCAGAAGGAGACACGAGCACAGGGGAAGAAGATTTACAAAGATGTCATGGCCTGATAGAGGGTATTGGAAGAACTATGAGGAGTTTGATATTGTTGCTGAAGAAGCAAGGGAAAGATGGTGTCGGAAAGGGAAGGGAAATCAGAGAATGAATGGAGGCCGTGAATAATTTACCACTTAGCAAGACAACCATTTGCCAGAGCACACATCTCAGACTTCATCCCACAGATCCACGGCATCCAATAAACATCACTTTAGCCAAATATGGCTGCATACATTCAAATTAGCCAAATTCTTATGCATATTTGTATATGTGTATGTGCCCCAAAATTCACAAGCCTGAGGAAAATTCAGAAGCCATCCTTAGGAATGCCAGGCACATCCTTTGAGACAGCTCTCTCACTGAAAGTGGAGCTTAGGATTGAGGCTAGGCTAGCTGGCCAGTGAGCCCCAGGAATCCCGCTGTCTCCACTTCTGCCGGATCTTATGTATACCTATAAGGTAGACTATATGGATCTTACATATACCTATAAGGTAAATCGTATAGGTATACATAAGATTCAGGTGTAATGCATTTTCTTAATCAGAGATCAATGGGGAAAGGGGAAGAGCCCAGCCCATTGTGGGTGGCACCATCCCTGGGCTGGTGGTCCTGGATATTATAAGAAAGCAAGCTGAGCAAGCCATGAAGAGCAAGCCAGTAAGCAGCACTCCTCCATGGTCTCTGCATCAGCTCCTCCCTTCAGGCTCCT